GAGTAAACCACAACGAACACATACGCCTGTGCCTCGCTTCGCTCTCTTTCTTTCCCTATGCTAGAAACGAAAACATAGTCCTAGATGTGAGGTCCTGAATTAATCAGAGCCAAAGGAAAGCATGCTGTCATCATATCTAGAATAACACACTGTTGCTAAAGATATTTGTACATTCTCGTACCAACAAACGGCTGGCTCGCGAAATCTGACAGTTAATCCCTATGCAATGTATCGGTTATTTATACCTCTGTTACACTTTTCAACACCATCTATGATTTACTTCGACGTCCACTTTGACCGAGCCTCAGTTACGACGCATGTCAACCCTTTGTACCTTGAACGAAGTATACTTGGTGTTTTATTTTTTTAAAATACCGTGGTCTCGGATTTCGAGAGCCAGCCTGTCTATTGGAAAGAACGGAGAACTATACACCGCTGAAGAACACATTGTTTCAAAGCTTATCGATATCGAAAAGATAGTTGTTCGAAAGAAGTGTGCGCAGATGCTTTCCGGAGCGGCTGCAGATCACACTATTGAAGAATGCAGACAATAAAGTGGAATGTTAGCTGCTTAGTTCTTGTATAAATGTATTGTAGATGAAACAAACGTAACGACCTGCTGGAAACGTCTAATCATTTCCCGGTGGAATCCAAAGTTTGTCTTCTAACTCGGTCAGCCGGAATGCTAACATCAGGACCACCGATGAGTCAGTTCAGGTCGCTGCGTTCGTTTCAACCACTGCAAATTCCTCTTCTTCGTATGTTCTTGTTTCTTCGGTGCGCCTCGCCGTTGCCTAGGGTGCACGCACCCGTAGCAACGGAACGAGGAGAGTCTAAGAAGCAAAGCAAAAGAACACAATGAAGATATGGAAGCGAACAAAGCTTTCATTGTACGACACTGGGTCATGGAACATACGGATGAACACGAGACATTTTAGACTACAGATACTTGTTTGTTCCGTTACGATTCTTTTGGATTCGAACCAGACCATGCCGGAAATCCTGTGAACGCGTACAATCCGCGCTCGACGATCGTACAAACGGGCAATGATTTCCACGTTGATCGAGAAGGGAAGGAACACTTGGTTGCCACTTTATATAACGTTCGCTCGGCTCCGATAGAGATCGTATCGATTCACTTTCGACGCCCTCGATTATAAGACCACGGAACTGTCCACGAGCTTATAGTCCCTACATTAAATTAGACTCAATCGACTGTGTCGCCCACCGTTTCTACCGCTTTGTAAACCACTCACCAGTTTCCGTTTGTCGAGCGAGATAAGGGTAGCCTAGAGAGACTGTACAATTGTTTAAGCGTAGATCAAGCGCCACTAGAGGAGGAGTTTTGATAATCGATTTTATAAATTGATTTTTGCCCCTCGGACCTGCACACCGTGACACGGTCCGGGACGGATATCATGGCGGCTCCACAACGAGATGTCACGTGTCGGGGATAACGCAGAAAACGAAGAAAACAAAAAATACTTGTACGACGGAACGCCCCTTTTATACCGTAGAGAGAATATACCATTCCTTCCATTTTACTAGAAGACAGTTTCTAACCTGTATCGTTTCTACGATTTTCGATCTTCGTACTTATTAGGAGCCGCTTCCTCTTTGAGCCCTGCACTACCAATTCGGGCACCGTTCCAACGGCGTGCTGTCCCGAAATTAACACTAGGTTTACGGGCGTTTATTGTACACTTGATTCCATTATTCCTAAAAGAATTGCTCGTTTATTTAGATCGTGGAAACTGGAGATTCGATAGTGGATAATTGGGGTACGTCAGTGTGATCGCATCGAAATCGGCGTAAACGTTTACAAAATGATACTTCTAAAATCCTAGTAAACCTAGTGTTGACAAAAGGACAAAGACACTTTCCACTCGTTCGATCGGTACGAAAATGAAAATCTGCTTCAACGTGGACTAGGCAACGATCAAACGATCGACTCGACGTTTCTTGCTGGTCGTCGCTTGTCACCCTACTGGTAGTGTAAGGGTTAACCACGTTAATCGTGAGCTCGTACGATCATGATCGTCCTTGAATCAAACAGTGGCTTAGCAATGCAGGCTGCATTGGCGCATGGATCGAGGGAATCGTAGATCTGAACGAGGCAAAAAGTATCCGTGCACTGGTTACGAAACGCACTTGTAGACGACGAAAATAGAAAAGAGAAAACACAGAAAAAACGAAGCATTGTTGGTTAGTAAGCAGATTCTATGGAGCACGGTTTCAAACAGAACAAGAAAAAGAGGGGGAGAGAAAGCACAAAGCGTACGTACTTAGTCGACGGCTTGTTAGATTAGTTTCGGACACGTTGACAAATTGCAACGCAATTATAACGTGGTCTTAGGATATCTATTAAGATACATTTCCACGCTGAGATGGGCGGAGTTTCATTTAATGACGATGATTGCTAACGTAGACATTTTCTCCCTTCACACGTTTATTCTATCTACTTTCGTTTCGTTAATTGCCTTATTTAATTCTCGAACATTTGCCCATCCGCTTTTGATACCAATCACGCGACGCTTTTTTCTCTGGTAGATGAAACTTTGAATCGACTCGTGGAACCTCGACTTACGAAACATTAACCAGGACAATACGTAAGATTAGATGCAAAAGAAAGGGAATAGAAAAGCGAAGTGCCCGACTGTGGCAGTTTCTTTATTTTCCGTTCTTAACGAAAGGACTCACAACCCTCGCTTTCATGTACGTTAGAGAGAAATAAAAAGAAAATGGCGTGTGTCCGAGGAAACGCATTCCTCTTGGTCCTTTGTTCTCACTATTTTCTGTTCCCTGTGTTTGTATTAACATTCTGATCGGTTCGCGCTAGAAGATGGAAGATGGTGCGACAAAAAAATGTAATTCACTTCTAACCCCTTACACGATATCTTGGATAATGTTGAGAGAAGCTTTTAGCGACCCTGAAGAAGCACGCACGGATCGCGTTGTCACGTTCTCGAAGTGAAGTAGGAGAGGCGCAATGGCGGTAGCTGTAAATTTTTACGAAATCTTTTGAATGCTTCGAAATATATTCGAACGCGATCGATCGGTGCGTGCTGTTTCACGGTTCCGGGAACACGTGTCATCCCAGGGCTAAGTCTTTGATACTTTGAGTACAAGTGCAATGCTCAAGATGATTAAAATAGCGCGAAACATGTAATAAAGGTTAGACCCTTTCGGAACGAGGCGATCAACGACTGACATCTCATTCTCGGAGCATATTCGCGTGTTGTTAACTTTTAGAGCTCCCATCCGACAAGACTACTCGAGAACTCTGGGAATATATTTCGAGAATGAGTTCTTAGTGGCTCGCTAGATTAAAGACTCATTGCTTGAGGCAATTATATTAGGTTGCTGCGATGGGTTTCCGACAGGAATTTTTCTAAAAATTTTCGGCGTTATCCCTTGGCCCTCAACGAATGAGACTCGCGAAGATTTAGTACTCGGTTCAATCTTTCCTTAAAAGGAAATGTAAAATTTATGATTAGAATGTTTCTCTAAGCCTTTGCACTCGGAATTTTTCACTGGAAATATTTCAACATTTTCTGACGAGATAGAAACGATATTTTGTGAAACAGTCAACGAGAAATCCGTACATTGAGGAACAAGGCTGTTTTATTTCAATATTTCTCAAATTGATGCGTTAAGGTGTAATGTTAAATATCAATTTTTACAGTTTTATCAGAGATCAGAGTTCAGAGAGTTGAGAAATCATAGGCCAAGGGGTTAAACCTTAATAGAGAAAAATCGAATTCTATTTTGATTTCAAAAAAGAAAAGAATGTTAGACGATACATCCGCTTGCAGCGACCTATTATAATAATAATAACTCGAACTCCGAGGTTCTTTAGGGCTACGAATATTGTAACGAAAGCAAGTTAACTATCGTGCTTCTGTCAACTGCTTGGAAGGGTTCTTTTTCTTCTTCTGGGCGAAGCGTATTCCATCGCGAACGTTAGGAACGTTTCCAACACCCTAGGTGTCGTTGAACCTAAAACATACGCAACTGCCTCCACAAAAGAAACTGTAGATGTAGATTAAGCGTATCTCGCGGAACGGGGAAGAGACACTAATCTTAAACTAACGACGGTACTCTTTCCTACACCATCGATCGTAACCGATCAAAACGCGATCTCGAACGCTGCACGTTACCTGACGATCTTCGACAAGCTACGATCTGTCGAGCAGACAAAGCTCACTGTACAATAGGTGTCGTTGAGTGCTTCGCACGACGAAACAGGATCAACCAAGATCGATGATATTCGATGTACATTTCGAGCTGTTCGGACGACAGAACTTTTTTTTCGAAACGATACCCTTTACTGTCAGAGATGGCCGATTAAAATTCGATTTTCTAAATTACGCGTTAGCTTTCCAAATTACTTCGCGAAGGATACCCTCGAATCCGATTTTTAGCTGACACAGAGACTTCGAGAAGAATAAGATCCTTGCGATCCTCAAGGAGTAAACGTAGCTCATCTAAGAATATCTTTGAAATGACATATCCACTGCTCAGCCGCTCTGGCTTCCATCGAAGAGTGAAATCTGGGTCTCAAAATCAAGATCAATTTTTATCACGTATAGACACTCAAAGTTTTAAGGAATGTAGAACATTCGATTTTACATCTCGAACGCGTTCCCGAGTATCCTTGCGAGCGCCTGTGCACAGGCAACCGAATCGCGGCGCTGCGTTTCGGTTGCTACGAAGTATCGTCGGTTGAATATTTCATTTTCTCTGCGGATGTAATAACAATAGTAATACGTTGATAATCAGTTCGAACGAGAGGTGAGTCTTGAAAATAAGCTTCATTGACACATTGAGCTTCTGGATTTCCATTTCTGGATATGACGAATATGCAATTGAAATGTACTATTTTAAAGAAATTTGTAATGTTTTGAATATTTTTTTTTGGCTACTCATTGATCAGATACAACCCTTAGCACTCCATATAGTTTTGTGACATTTCAGCAACTCCTATCAATTTTGATAGTCCTACTGAAAATTAACAATGTTATAATATTTCTTAAATATTCAATTCTCTTCTCAGCACAGATCTTGTATATTTGGAAGATCTAATTCCTTAAAATTCATTAAAATGTTTAATATTATTCCTGGTGCAATATTGGAGCCTACAGAGTTCAAAGGGTTAAATGTCTCTCAAGCTCAATGCGTTAAGAAGCAAGGAAAGTCATCCTTATTTCCGAGTCAGCCAAAGTCAATCGCTATCAGGAGTCTCTGGCAGTAACAGGCCGCGAAAGGGTTTTTCTACGGAAGAAATAATTGTTCCTCGACTATAGGTGACGGGAGTCGACTCATCTATCTTGGACACGTTGAGATTAGCTAACTGTTAACAAGTAGAAACGTTGAATATAAGCGTGTAGCTTTCTGCGTTTGTGTAAGAAACATTAGAGGACGTAGGGCGAGTTTAGGGGGACCTACGCTGCAACCCGGAGCGAAGCTCGCGCGTGAACCTAATGTAATCGCAGACCGTGTATCTAATAATAGTAGTTCGATTAGCAGCGGTTAGCGTGCTAAGCAGGCGGCACGTGAGAACCTGAAACGTGCGGAGAAGAAAACGAGAGGCGAACGAAAGAAAAATGACAAAAAAAAGAGTGAGAGAGAATGAGAGAATGAGATCGAACGTAACGAGAGGAAGCCGGAGAAACGACAAAAATTACACGACGAGGGCGAAGACCTTTGGTATACACATTGTCAATTAGATTCAGACTGATCGCAGGGATTGAAACACGCATTCCAATGAGAAAAAAAAAACTCGATGTTCTTCGGTGTTTTAGCTAGATATTGTTGTCGTCGTCGTTGATGATCGCCGTTGCCGCGATCCCACGTCTCGATACGACATAGCGCGGCGAGGACGGGACAAACGGGAATGGGACATTCGGTCTGAGGTACACCAGGTATATCCGGTTCATGCTATGTCGTTCGATTATAGTCTATTGTACACGTAGGCAGCTCTACTTATACTGGAAACGAGAAATAGGTGCATAGAGAAACATAACCCTCCGCGTCTCGTACTCGATGCGAATTAAGATTCCAACCCTAACTTCTCTTAACACTTTAACTGCCACGTCACGAATTCAGGTGACATATTTCACAGAAATGTGGACATTGATTTCCTTCGTGACGCATCGAACTAACCGAATTTTCTTGGATATATGAGGTATAAGATGGAGCAGTTATTAAGAATCTTGATTTCTCAGTTGGTTAATGGAGAAAACTGTTTCGAGGGGGAGTTTTGATGAACGTTCACGTGGCAGTCAAAGTGTTGTTTACTGAATTCTAGGTATACGCACGAAGTTGATTCCGGTGAAAATCGGTTGATTTTTGTAACGATATCGGGTTTATTTATGAGTTGGACGAAAGTACTTTATGATAGCGAATGGTAGTAGCATACGTGATACGGTTCTGAGTTTGTTTCGTTCTATTCCTCTTTCTCATCGCACGACTTTAGTGCCTCGAGAGTAAACTATCCTGGTCGAAGCTTGATTAACCACACGTAGATCTGTTCGTGTAACCTACTAGCAAACACGAAGAGTACGTACAAGACTCGGGTCTATCCTCCGCGAACCGCAGAACAATATTCTAAGCACATTTTTACACAGTCACCCACGCGCCACTCCGACCGGAGCCACGATCAGAGTGATCGGTCGATTTTCTTAGCGAACGTCTAACCGTCGCGACCGGTCTATCCATGATTTTTATCCGACCGCGTAGATCGAGACGTCGACGAGTTACTTTCGACAGCATCTCCCCATTAAACGTCGATTTTAAGGTATCAGTCGAGCATCGTCGATCGAAACCTGTTCTCCGATCACCGAATTTTTACATCGAGAGGCCCCCGTGGAAAGAGACACCATTACAGTCGAAAGAAGTAACGTCGAAATCACCTAACCCGTTCCGTTTATCGAGGGGACGGGATTATCGAATGCGAAACATATCCTCCGTTCAGGGAATTTAATCTAATTGATTCGATAGCTGAGGAAATAGAGGATTTAGATCAGTGCTGTCTACGGTTCGAAACGCGAAGTATCCCGTTGGCGTAACAATGGCGTCCCGACTCGGCACGCGACGGATAACTCCCGAATAATTTAAGAATTCCCATTGCAAGAACAATTGCAAGTAGTAACTTCCAATTTAGACGGATCAACCCCTTGCGTACTATTTACTTTCGCCACTATGTACCATTTTACTATCGACAATTTGGGAGAAATGCAAAATTGTCCATTCTACTTCAAGTGGAAATTTTATTCGAAGATGATACAATGATAGCAAAATAGTCGTTTGCTTTGATCCGTGTTAGTCTATAAATCTTACGAGTCTCACTCGTCATTGTACGGCAAGGGGTTAAGAGACTCGGGATAGACGAGAATCAAAAATTGGAATTGAAGTAGCTGATTTCTCTAGATCTACAGGTTGAGTGACGTTCGGACGGCACTGGTCTAAAGGGAAACGGACGCCCGTTGAACGATTAGAGGGTCCGAGACGATCGGGGGAGACGAATGGGCCCCTCGAATCTCACACACTTACACAGGAACACGCGGACACACTCACAACTCTCTGGACCAATAAATTTTACACTAATCGTACTATCGCCTAAATCGCCGCTTCCGTGGAAGTCGAGTCTCCCTGTCTCTAGATCCTGCGAATCACGGAAAAGGAAAAGGAGCTGAACAGAAGCTAGGGATTTATCAGCTAACCGACGATCATCCCCGCGTTTACAGAGCAACAAAGAGCAACCCACAACAAACAGCACACTGTGTGTCTATCGTAATCGTATATTAGCCAACTGTATATCATGTATGTTGAATTAATTGTACGACGAGCAGCCGCCTGTGACGAGGAACGAAAGGGGGCACGTTCGCGACGATCTTCGCCGAGAAACTTCGAGATTTTTACCATGGAAGCTTCGATGATTCCGCTGAAAATTTCTTGATCTTCGCTCGTTCGCCCGGAGCGCGCTACACGCGTGACGATTACCGAATGTTACACGTTTTCCAAGCGTTCTCTCCGAATTGCGCCGAACATGTCTGCCGGAGGAGTCGCGCCATTTCTTCGTTCTCGCGCCAAGATGGCGGACGTGTCTCCCCAAGGAACAGCACCGCGTGTAAAATGATCGGATGAGGAGCTATAACGCTTGACGACGGGGCAAAACGGTGTGTATGTACGTGTGCATGTATATAAGGCGTATAATGAACCTATACAAACTATACACGGTACAAGGGGGTGTGTATGTGTGTGTATATACGACACACGTGTACATTGCGTATACATATTATACATAACGTTAGCGTCGCAACGTGCATACACAGCAGAGGAAAAAAAACCGTAGCGCGAAGGAGGCCACTATACATATATACATAACGATATACATACATATAAATATATACATAAACGAGGATTAATTGTAACGTTGTAAAGCTGTGAGCGAAGAGAGAAAGACGGCACAGAGTTACTAACGGTAATTAACCAAGACGCGAGATGAACAGAGAGAAAGAGAGGGAGAGAAAGGCCAAGAGAGAATG